TAGGTCACGCTCCCTAGGAGCTGCGTGACCTGACACGCCCCCCTCTATCCCGTGGTCTTCGCGCCTCATCGAGGCGCTTGACCTTACGAAATATCCTTACGAAATACCCCCCAACAACTCGTAAGCCTACGCAAAACCCCGATTTTATGAGGAGTGAGCTCCTCGGCAAACTCGCATCAGTTTGTTAATATTGATACTAAGAATCAGAAGCTCCACTACCTTTATTGCTATATATGTATATTTCAAAACAACAGGACAAAATGTAAAAGAAACACCAGGTCACTGTGACTTCTGCTAACTAGTTTGCCTGCTGGCGAGTTGGGAGAGCAGGTTGTAGACAGTGCAATTGACTATTTCGTCAGTCCATTGTTACTTTGATTTCCATACCTTACAGTATTGCATATGAACTTTAGAGCTATTTAATTTTCACAAGAATATTCCTCTTTTTTTGATCTCGTTTCGAAATGTTACGGAGTTCCTAATTCATGTATATTAGTTCTGCTGAATATGGAAGTGTTGCAGCACTCGACCAATTAAACGCTCTACCTACAAGCGAATGAGTGATGTGGCCTAATTCGAAATCAAAGTTGCATATATGTACATTCACGTCTGCCTGTTCCTGCAAATGGCTGTGTATGGAGTTCTTCGGTAGCGTTGAGGGACTTCGGAAACAATATCCCCGCCCTAGAACAATGTCGAGACGCTAAGCCCTGGTACTATGTCGGCCATCAATCGGGTATTTTTCTTAAATTATTAAAATTTTTGGCATCAGTAATACGCATAAAAGAAATTAATTTGATTGATTTGAACTTGAAATGTCAAGCATAAAAAGTTATGGTATAGCGTGCGCCGTACAATCCTCATGATAATCATTTATCAGACGTTATATTGAACACCAAAGGCAAAGGAGTAAAGGGAAAAATCCAAGTATATGCGAGCCGTGCTCACTCCTCGGAAGCTGCCGGGTCCCGAGGTTGCGCGGGATCTTCTCACTGTTCGAAGGTCTCGCCACGCTCCGCCTCTGATCGTGGTGACTTGGCACGTCGCCCGCAGGATCTGAATTCATAATTGATTGAGCACCCTGTAACTTGTCATTCAATTACCCTTACACCTCCCCTTTTCTCAAAATGTCAGGGAGGTCCGATGTTACGACGACAGTATCGCGTCGTGCGGCCCCTTCGATAAGCTGGTTCTAATCAGAGAGGAGTAATAAGTGCGGTAATACCGCTCAGCAGACTGTGCGCGACTAATTGTAAGACGAGAATAAACAATCAGTTCATTGATGCGATGGAGTGTGAGTGTCAGCCCAGAAGATGTCCTTGTGTGGAAGGTGTTGAGCGCAGAGGTGACAACCGATGAAGGCCAGGAATCCATGTGGGCGACAGGAGCAATGTTCTCGTGCGCGGCGAGCATCCTTCCCCCCAAGTTGCAGTACGCGAGCCTTAAGTACGAAGCATGAGGTGAGTCA